AAAAGAAGAAAACTCAAAAAATTAAAGAAAAAAAGTTGTATTCCTAAGAATATTTAATTACTGGAGGAACTCAAATGTGTGTATATTTACATTTAGAGACATTTTGTGTTTAATTTTTTTCTTCTCCAACATGCTAAAGGAAGAATAGTCTAAAGCTGAAGGTATGAGACAAGGATTGTTGACTTTATGTAACTGTTACTCTTAAGATTTCCAGTACAATTTCAGAAAAGTCAGTTTCTACCTAACTCTGAATTTCCTCTATGCAGCTATGGAGATCTCAGCTTTGGTATCATACAGGTGAACTGGGAGGCCAGTTCCAGTAAGGAATGGCACACCCAGCTACTGCATTAATGGAGGCTTTGTAAATAGAGCAGATCAGTCTATTATTTTTATATTAGTCTGAATATTATAGATCAGCATAATTCCTTTTACAGAAACTTGCCTCTTTGAAGGTTCCACACACAGTTTTGTACACAGTCACAGAAGAAATCTCTCATACACTGCAGAAGTAATGACAGTATCATCATGTAATCTAGCTAACAAGAGTTAAAGAGATTTAAAGCACTGCATTACAGTTTGGCAGATTATATGTCTGACAGCATTTAGCTAAGACATCTGTAGCTGTCAAGTATAATCACTGCAATGAATGTTCTTCTGTAATCTAAGAGACAACAATTCAGCAAATTTTTAACATCTGGCTAGTCAGCAACTTTTCAGCTAAAGAGGTCAAAACATGCTATTTTTAGAAAGAACTCTAATTCAAAGACTCTTTTCCTACTTCTACTTTTGTGGTATATATTCCTGTAATATTTTAGCCCTCAAAATCTGCAGAAAGGATATTATTAAAACTGCACAGAAATCAAACACAAATTTCTGGAATTTCACTATGCCACAGAATATCTCTAGTTCATCAGCTGGCAGGAAAGGGCACCATTTCACATAATTACCTCCATGCTCCCATTATTATTGAAATGTTTACTATGCAGCCAAAACTAAAGGCAGAGAGTTCTAAGGAACCTACAACCCTAGAACCAATTTCCTAGTCCACAAATTGCTTCTTTAACTTATTTTCTTGTAATGCATTTAAAGATTTAGCTGCATTTCTGTAGAAAAACACCATTCTTTTTGCAAAGAAGAATCATAAAATAGACTCACAGAATGGTTTGGGTTTGAAGGGAAATTCACAGGTTATCCAGTCCAACCCCTCTGCAATGAGCAAGGCACATCCTCAAGTAAATCCCATTCAACCTGACCTTGAATGTTTATAGGGCCTCCATCACCTCTCTGAACAGCTGGTGCCAATGTTTCACCCCCCTCATAACATAATTATTTCTTATACATTTTCCCTCTTTTACTTTAAGACAATTATGCCTTGAAATCTGTCCCCATATTCTCCATAAGATTCTTTTTAGTGTGAAAGGCTCCTAGAAGGTCTCCCTGAAGCCTTATCTTCCAGACTGAAGAACACAGACTCTCAGCCTTTCCTCATATGAGAGGTGCTCCAGTCCTCTGATAATTTTTGTGGCCTTCCCTAGACTGGCTCCAGCAGAACCATGTCTTTACCAAGGATCCCAGAGCTGGATGCAGAACTCCAGGTGGGGTCTGGGAAAGCAGAACAGAGAGGGAGAATCCCCTCCCTCAGCCTGCTATCCATGCTGCTTTTGATGCCACCCAGGACATGGCTGGATTTCTGGCCTGCAAAGGCACACTGCCTGCTCATGTCCAGGTTTTCACTCACCAGTATCCTCAAGTTCTTCTCAATCCCTTCTGTTCTCAGCCTTTATTTATACCAGGAGCTGTCCTAGCCCATATACACCACCTTGCATTTATCGTGCATTGGGACATATTGCAAAAGCAGTTTATGTTTTTATACTCCATTAACCAGAGCAGAGCTGATTAACAATATTTGACCTTGTTAAACCCCATGACATTCACATGAGCCTACTCCTCAAGCTCGTCCACATCCCTTTGGATGGCATCCCCCCTTATGGAATGTGAACTGCACCACCCAACCTGGAGGCACCCACAAACATGCTGAGAGTGTGCTTGACATGGAAAGAAAATTTCATTTCCTTTCGGGAAGGGAAATGGAAACCTGCGGTTTCAATGGGGACCAATAGAGGAATCTTTGATGCATGTCCCTGCCCTAGATGGCATGCCATGCCTTTTCATGGCTTTGACTTTGAGCAAGATATTATGATTTTTTCTTTTTTTCCTATGTAGCCATGGCATGTCCCTCATATCATCCCCTCCAAGTTGTGTCTTCCTTCTTGACTATTTCCCCTGCTTTCGCTACATCTGTGAGCCTAATTTTGGCATGTTTTGGGCCTTTGCACTGCACCTGATAGAATCCCGGTCCATTTTCTTGTAGTCACTAAATTTCCCAAATTTCCCACATTTGTTTCTTTTTCTCCTCCAATTGCAATTGCTTGGATGGAATCTCCATTCCAGAGTGTTTGTAAGTCCTTCTTATTTGCTTTGGCCTTCAGCGGGGATCGATTTAGGCAGGCTTTGCTGCATGTGCCTGCACTTGATCGCATATTGTTTTGATGGCTTTGATTTTAACCAAGATTTTTTTGATTTATTTTTTTTCCCAAAATATCCATGGCATGTCCATAATATCTTCCCCTCCAAGTTGTGTCTTCCTCCTTCATTTTTCCCCTGCTTTTGAAACTTCTGTGAGCATAGTTTGGGCATGTTTTGGTCCTTTGCACTGCACCTGATAGAATCCCGGTCCATTTTCTTGTAGTCACTAAATACCCCAAATTTCCCACATTTGTTTTTTTTTCTCCTCCAATTGCAATTGCTTGGATGGAATCTCCATTCCAGAGTGTTTGTATATCATTCTTATTTGCTTTGGCCTTCAGCAGGGGATCGATTTTGGCAGGCTTTGCTCCATGCGCCTGCACTTGATCGCATATGCTTTTGATGGCTTTGACTTTGGGCAAGATTTTTTTGATTTTTTTTTCCCCCCAAAGTATCCATGGCATGTCCCTCATATCTTCCCCTCCAAGTTGTGTCTTCCTGTTTGACTTTTTCCCTTGTTTTTGCAACATCTGTGAGCATAGTTTGGGCATGTTTTGGTCCTTTGCACTGCAGCTCACTTCCTCACAAACGATTTTTTGAAGACACTAAATCTCCCGATTTTCTGGGTTTTTTTCAATTACATTTCATTTGCTCCTATCTCCTTTCCAGAGTGTTTGTTAGCCTTTCTTTTCGGGTTCGCAAGATTCCATTTCCCTTCCTGAAAGGAAATGAAATGGAATCTTGCGGTTTCAATGGGGACCAATAGAGGAATCTTTGGTGCATGTCCCTGCACTAGATGGCATGCCATGCCTTTACATGGCTTTGACATTGAGTAAGTGGTGTCCTGAGGGACACCACTTGTCAGTGATCTCCATCCAGAGACTGAGACATTGTCTGCTCCCCTCTGGACACAACCATCCCACCAATTCCTGATCCACTGAACCATCCACCCACCACATCCACATCTTACCAAGTTTGAGGGAAGGATGTTGAGGGGGACCATGACCAAGGCCTTACAGAAGTCCAGACAGATGACAGCTGTAGCTGTTTTCTTGTTCACTGACACAGCCATTTGACCACAGAAGGTCACTAAGCTGGCCTTTCCCTTGGTGGAGCTGTGCTTGCTGTCCTGAACCTCCCCTCAGTCCTCTGTGTGCCTCAACATAGCTTCTAGGGGGATCTGTTCCATGATTCCCAGGCAGAGTAGAAACCCCAAAGGTGAGGATGATATTCTGTCAGCTAACAAATTCCTAGCATCCTTCTTTCTACTCTTTTTAAAAATGGGTACAATATTTCCATTTTTCCACTCACCAGGGACTTCACCTGAGTCCTTCCATGACTTTGCAAGTATAATGGAGAGTCAGTATCCTCCACTTGACCTAGACCTTCTAAAATATTTTAAATACTCTGTAATCAGAGTAATGCACTATTGTAATGACTGCTGCCCAAGGAAAGGGTACAGTCCTTGGGGCTCACCAGACACCTCAACAAATTCTTGCAGGTGCCCTCTCATCTTCTCATAAGGCAGATCATCAAGAAAAGAAGTTAAGGACTGATTTTTCCTAGAAATAAAAAACTAAAAGTAGAATTAATAACAACTGACTCTTGCAGAACCATTTTGCTAGTGTCCTAAATATTGAAACCAAGAACAGCCAAGATCCAAAATGCCATTTTTAACTAACTGCTTAGCCTTTTTAACAAGATTCAACGCAATGAAATCAAACAAGGAAACAAGTGCAACACTTCAAATATAAATGGATAAACAGCTTAAGGGACTTTGTTGTTACAATATCTTATTCTGGTATGAATACCATTGGCTATAGCAAAAGGAAAAGGAAAGATTAAAACATATATCATGGTGTTTGTACTTAGGCCAAGTGTTCATGAACCCACTGTCTATCTACAGTATCATTTGCTAAGGGTAAAAACAGAAAATAGTGCATCACTGATATTCACTTGCTTTGGGGAGTCATCAATTACAAGATTTCAAGTTGACATCACATTTAATAGGATGGATCTGGGTTACAATACCTTACAGAATTGTTTTTAGAAGCTATTTACAAAAGCAGTAGATTAACCTGTATAACAGTAAAAAAGTACATTCATGAGACATATTCAAAATAATTGTTTTCTACAAGGTTTCCAGAGTTGAGTTCCATAGCAAGGAGCTCTGAAGAGGCCATTCTCAGTAGGTGATTTTGTTTTAGCATATACTAGTTAACAACCTGAATGAGGTGATGGAAAAAAACTGATAGGCAAAAATAAGTGGATGTTTGGCTCTGCTATTGAAGGAGATCACTTTTTAATAAAGAGCACCAGACAGGTTATTAATCTAAAACTTTTAGACATCCTTTTACTCTACACTAATCAATATTTTCATATTTTCAACAATAACATAAAAGAAGTACATATTCTGGCATGAGAATAACACACTGATAAAAAAAAAACTGACATAGAAGATAAAAAGGAATTACCTTCTTGTGGCTTTTTGCTGTGTATTGCAGTCAGAATGTTTAATTGAAGATGAAACTTTTTGCTTAGCCAGGATTATTTCTTTAGCCTAAAATAAAAATAGACAAAACATAATTCTCATAAAAGTTGACACTTTTGCTTGCAAGCATTTAAATAATCTTTCAAAAATAGAAAATTGTGAGTGTCTGCATAAATTTTCTCTTGTGACATTTACTCTTTCTGTTACATTTTACCACTCTTCATTTAGCATGAAACATAGACATAAGGCAAGTTAAACCAAATTATCTGAATGGAAATATAGTCAAACATTTATATAATTATACATAAAAGAGTCTTTAAATATATCCATCTACTTGTGTTTAAATATATACCATCTTGTTTAGCACCATGTTAATAATGCACATTACTGATTTCATTTTGGTTCTGGTGCCCAAGTACTTGTTCTGAAATTTTTTTTTTAAAATCAGCTGCAATCTGGACTTCTCCTCACTCAAATGACAAGTGACCACAAACTCCTTCAGCTCCTTTGCTAAAACAGAAACTTAGGTTCAAAGTCCAGAGGAATTCCCCTTCTCAAAGAAAACACATCCACCATGATTTTTTGAAAGATGTGTTATTGACAAAAGGGTATCTCATTGTAAAAGGATCTCTTTCCCTTCATAACAACAGCATGGGACAGACATCCCTGAAACATCTGAAAGGAAGAAGAACAGGAACTACATCAAGCAGTTCATGTTATTCACTGTTTCCTAGTCCAACTGATTTGAGAGCAGTCTGTTCCAGAAGCCCTTCACTGTGAATTTAGTCTCCACTCTGAACCCCAAATTATATAAAGACAATCTGTAGCTTCAGTCATCTGTTTCTGGGAATCAGTGTGAAGAGGCTGAATCCCTCCGGTTCTGTATATGCTTTGATGACAGAAAGAAAGCCTTGTTTCTTTCTACCTTCCCGCTTTTCAAATATTCTTTTTTTTTTAACAGAAATTCATTCTGCTGATCCCCTTGAGACTTGTGCTTCTTCCTTTGTCCTTAGAGCACACCATCAAGGATGGTGGAGAAACATGCTGGTTCTGCACTCCTAAGAAAATATATCCCTGACAAGAACTGACCTTGGAACTTATGGAAGGGTTAGGATTTGCCTACTTTGGCCTCAGTAGTAAGATAACAATGTGAAATTTGAAGCCTGTGGTATATAAAAAAATGGACTAAATTAATATAATGAAGCTTTCTGAAAGTTATTCTATGATACTAATATTTATGATACTAATACTATGATTTCTCATATTTACATTTTAGTGTACAGTTTTGGGCAGCACAATATAAAAAAGACATGAAGATATGAGAGAGCATCCAAAGGAGGCCATGAGGATGGTGAAGGGTGTGGAGGAGAAGCTGTATGAGGAGTGGCTGAGGTCATTTGGTCTCTTCAGCCTGGAGGAGATGGAGGGGAGGCTTCATTGAGGTCTTCAGCATCCTCATGAGAGGAAGAGGACAGGCAGGCACTGATCTCTTCTCTCAGGTGACCAGTGACAGGACCCAAGGGAATGCCTGGAGTTGTGCCAGAGGAGGTTAAGATTGGATATTAGGAAAAGGTTCTTTACCTAGAAGGTGTTTGGGCCCTGGAACAGGCTCCCCAGGGAAGTGGTCACGGCACCACACCTGAAAGAGTTCAAGAAGCACTTTACTAATGCTCTCAGGCACATGGTATGACTCTTGGGGTGTCCTGTGCAGGGCCAAGAGTTGGATTTGATGATCCTGATGGGTTCCATCCAACCCAGCATATCCTATGATTCTATGATTAATTAGAAAACAGAAAATGACCCCTTTTGAGATCATTATCAAAGGATTCTAGATAGAGATGTTTTAAAAAAACTCCGGAGTATATTTGAGAAAACAGAAGGAATATGCAAAAGCCATATTTTTATTCATAGCTTCAGTCCATCTTTTTTTTTCCTACAATGGCTTTCTTATTCTACAATGGGAATTTGAGGAAACAGATTTTCCCTGAAACACATTTATGCTGAAAGATTATTAGATTTCTAGGGTTCCAGAGCTGTGTCTCCACATGCCTTTGATGGTAATGAAATATTACCACATTTACCATACCTAGATAAGTAAGAATTATATGAAGTAATTCTATCAAATAAAACTGACATGCATAATACACACTACTCCTATTTTTAGATTAATTAAGCAATCTAACTCTCATTGATCTTTAAATTTCTAATCTCTTTTGAAATCCCAGGCAATAAAAAGCTGTCAGCATTCATTTGAGGCTGGTAATATAATAAAGAATTGATCAAAAGTCCAAATTTTACTCTCTGACTCACTAAACTAAGAAAGTTTTCAAACATGACAGAGAATGTCTCAAAACCCTAAATAAAACCTGCTTGTTAATAACACTGGGGTTTGATGCTTTTACTGAGGCAGCAATTAAAATGCTGGTGTAATCTACTGATGACATTTTATGAAATAATTTATTTAATATGCCAATTTTAGTCAAATTCTATTAAAGAATCTTCCATTTTTTTATTTGCCTGCATCATCTGCAAATATGATGCTGCCAAAGCACAGAGGTTCAAAATTGGAGAAGTTTCATGTCACAAATATTTTTCCCAGAACACAAGGCATGTACAATGTAGTCACTGTCCACACCTTGCTCATGTAAAATCTCCATACAAAGGATTATTGAAGTATAAACACTACACTTTAAAGGTATCACTATATTATTTCACTGAACATTGTGTCCTTCAGTTTCTTTTGATGACCTTCCAAAAAATGTTGGTAAACACTGCCTTAGAAAGGCACCCATTCTGTGGTGATTTGTTGTGTAGCATGTAATATGGTTAAAAATATGTTCCCAGAAATGAGTGTGAAAATTATTCCTTTCTTTTACTTCATGTGGAATTTACTATCTCCAACATCTGTGATGTGACAAGATCATCAGAGAGGCAAGGAGAGAAGTTTTGGTTTTGCTTTTAAAGACTAGGGAACTATAAACAGGCTAGAAGATGAATGGTGAAAGGTTTATTAACCTGATCAGGATCTCAGTAAAACAAGTGAAAAACACTTAGAATTCAGATAGATTTCTATTGTATTACTGAGAAGAGAGAGATATTTTTAGGACACTATTGCATGAAGCTTATTATAGGAGACTATTTTTAGATTAGTGGACATTTCACTTATGTAAGGAATGTGTTAGGCCATTTATCTAGCTGCAAAAAAAAAAATATTTTGATAACTGTTTTTTAGAAACAAAAAGGATAAAATACAGTGTAATATAGTCATTAAGCTTGTCTTGTCACTGACACAGCCTGAAATAAATGGAATGTATTCTGGTCTTCCTATTAACTTTACTAAGAGGAATTCCCATTAAGTTGCTGATCTTGAACCAGTATTCTCAAGCATTGATAAAATCAGCCACAATATTCTGCAAGAAAAATATCTATTGGCTTTCCTGTTGTCAATCATTATTCATTTACCTTTCTTCCTATATTACATCCCATTAATCATAATGATAAAATTTGTATGGTTTGAGATCATCTGAAGAGGAACTACGCCCCAAAAATTTCAAATGAGCACTCTATTTCAGTCCTAGGAGAAGAGAACAGATTCTGTGAATGTAAAAAGTCAATTAAAAAGTGAACAATAGATTAGTATCCTTTACATGCAATTGCAGTGAAGTAACACAGATTCATCTTTGGTCAGTAAATCCATGAAGTTCACAGGACCACAGAATGCTGGATATTGGCAAGGACCTGTGGAGATCATCTAATCCAAGCCCCCTGGTCAAGCCACTTGAGCCAGTTGCTCAGGACCACGTCCAGATGGCTTTAGAACATCTCCAGGGATGGAGGATTCACAGCCTCCCTGGATGACCTGTGCAGACACCTGGTCACCCTCACAGTCAGAGTCTCCTGGTCTTCAGGGGGAACTCCTGCATTAGAGTCTGTGCCCACTGTCTCTGGGGCTGTCACTGGGCACCACTGAGAAGAGCCTGGCTCTGACTCTTTGCACCTTTCCTTTAGGGTATTTCTGTGTATTGATGAGATCCCCTCGAGCCTTCTCTCCTCTCAGGCTGGACAGTCCCAGCTCTCTCAGCCTTTCCTCACAGGAGAGGTGCCCCAATTCCTTGATCATCCTTGTGGCCCTTTGCTGGGTTCTCTCCAGCAGGTCCATGTCTCTCTTGCACTGGGGAGCCCACCACTCCATGTGTCTCCCACCAAGGCTGAACAAGGGGGAGGATGGCCTCCCTCCACCTGCTGGCCATGCTCCTAAGCTGCTCAGGACACAGCTGGTGTTCTTTGACAGAAGAGGATATTGCTGACTCACGTTCAGCTATGTGGCAACCAAGACTTTGCTTTTCTGCAAAGCTGCTTCCCAGAATCCACTGACAACATGCAGCATTCCATTCATGCATCCCCAAGCTACTCAAGCAGTTTTAACCAAACCAAGGCCAAGCTGAGGACATCTACCCAGTTATTCCATAGTGCTTCTCTCTCCTCATGTTTTACAAATATCTGAGAATCACATATTCTGAGAGGAAGTATGCTCCAGAGCCTCAGGCTAGGCAAAATACGTAGGTGTAGCTAAAATATCAAGGTAGGTTAAATATAAAGTTAATAATGGAATAAAGACAGTTCTCAATCACAGTATGAAGAGAGAATATTCATTTTGCTGATTTAGGTAGGATTTTATGGGTAAGCAGCAGAGTTAATAGATACCCAGAAACACTTGGAAATATTTACATTTTCTAAGGCATTGATCATCCACAAAGGGACTAGCAAGATGTATGAGTAATAAAAGCAGGGTATGGGACAGAAAACTGCAAAGACAAGTAACTATTAAGCAAAAATAAATCATATACATTTGAAAATTACACTACTCAAAATGACAAATTTCAAGGCCTCATTTTCAAACAAATTTATGGAAACATAAATTCTCATTTGAGTGAATTTTGAACATACAGAAAACCTTAACTAAATAAGTACAATTTTCAGTATTCTTACAGTTTTTGGCAAAAATGCGTGTTTGACTCTAGAGTGACAGTTTGTGATTCCATGAGGGGCTGTCCTCATAGGGACAGACAGATGGTATGGGATTGGATTATAGAAGGGAACATAAAAGGCAATACCCACAAAAGTTAGAGCTACTAGATGCATAGTCTTAGAATTAAATCAGAGCACAAAGAGAAAAAAAATAACCCCATATAGCAGGGGAAGCTATTTCAGCTAAATAGCTTCCTCCTTCAGAAGGAAATGCATTTGATATACTCCGGTGGACCCACACATATCCCCTGCCCTTACACAACAGAGAAATTTCCTAAAGTCCAGAAGAGCTAGAGCACCAAGAGATTGTTTTTTCACTGTAACTATCCCTGGGCAGGATTACCATATTCCAAAAGCCAGAAGTATAAGATGTCCTACAGAGGCCTTAAAAGCAACCCAATGCTCCCAAGGCAACAGCAGAAGATGCTGCAGTTGATTAACTTCTCCCTCAGCATCCAGAACCCCACCATACAACCCATTCTCATCTCTGGAACTCCACCTCCCCAGAACTTCCAGCTCCTTGCCGGATCCAAGCAGTTTCAGTTGAAACACCATAATGCCACAACCTTCCTGCTCAATGGTCACAGTAGTTTGTACAGCTGGTCAGGGAATCCTTTCCAGCCAGGCAGAGCATGAATGGAAAATGATCTCTTCATTCATAAAGCAACTCTTTTTCCAAACACATGAGAAATGAGAGTAGTGCATCATCCCTTTATTTGGACAAATATGTAACCTTCATATATATGTGTGCCACACAAGTTGTGATAAAATGATTTGTTCTTATTATTTCACAAGTGGAAAAAGGAAGTAGGTATGTGTTTATTTTCCTTATTTAAAAAATCCTATCTTCTTAGATATTTGCATAATACTGCATGTATTGCATAGTCTCTTTTAGCACATAAAAAGCTGATCCTGTTTAAAGTAAAGGAAATACAAATTTCTATTAATACTGACTTTCATTATGTTCCTTTAGAGGGTTTTTAAATACTAAGGCTTGGCTCTGCAATTAAATTGTCTTTATGCAATGTTCCTTTTCTTGGGAAATATGCCCTGATGGGAAAGGCAAGACTGCATATCTTTAGCAAGCCAGATGTTACCTGTAACTCAGAGACATTCCCAAAGTACTCAAACATTTAAGGACCTTTGTGTGATGCCTCCTGTTTTACATACCTTTGGCATGGTGACAACTAAATGGCCAGTTGTTTGTGATCTTTTAGCACAGCTGCTGTCTGGCTTCACTTCCTCAGGGAGCACAAGCTGAAAAGGCTACCAAACAAAATGGAATTCAAGTATATCATGCTAAAATATTTTTTTCTTTCTTTTACATGGACAAAACAAATACAAGGCCACCACTATCACATCCTTTGGTTGTAAGGACACTGCAGGTGTAAATGCTTTCACTTTATGTATGGTATTACTAAACCTAATAAATTAGGCTAAATCGCTTTTGCTTACAAGTAGAGTCAGATGTATGTTCCTGAACTGCTGCCATTCCTGAAGTGGCATTTCTAAAGAAGGTTACAAATGATGCTTGACTTATATTAGCAATTAAATGAGAAAGATTATCCAGTCTATTTCAACATAAATCAATTCTCAAGTTTTGTTTACGCAGTTGGCTCAGTTAAAAATAGGGATTTTGGTTTACTGTGGAAGTACTTGGAATTTTTTTTTCTAAAATGATGATAAAATTAAAACCACCAAGAAGAGAGAAAACTGGAATGACATTTTAAATGCCCTTCCAAAAGAATATACATCCATTGGTTTCTGTCAGCTATAAATTCCAGATTGTGAAATTGCTAAGTTCTAGCCTAGGGCAACTAGGAAGCTCTCTTCTAAAGTGAATTATGGTACACTGTGTGGGGAGAATAAGAAGAGAGGAGAGAAGGAAAGTGAAATTTTATTTCAGGCTTTGTACATCTTCTGGTTAGGACTTCCACAGTTTATGTGTGTTTCAAAATAATGCTGGTATTGAAAGAACATTCTCTCTGCATAGATGCAAATGATTGGGAACTTAGAGAAGTCAGATCCAGAGTCCACTGAATAACTATGGCAAACATTAACTCTTGATTTAAAAATGAATGTATAAGAAATCACAAACCTTTCCCTTCACCAGTACTCGTACGTAAGTTGGCTGCACATCAACATCAAGTAAAGAAGTGTCCAAATGTCTTCAGAATGAAATAGAAATAAATGAATCAATCTACATCAGAGCATATAGCTCTTTCAAAGTTTCACAATTTATAAAGCACAAGCTTAAATTTCAGTTATTAGATTTTCCAAAATACTACTAGGGTTTAAAGTTTTTGGGAAAAACACCCCATAATCTTCTTGTGAATGTCACTTATAATAATGTCTAAATTCTATCAAGTCCATGACATTTGCTATTGTATAACTGCAAGAATTCAAAATCCTTGATGAAAACAAAAAAGGTCTTTCATCTGTTAGTTCAGTTCTTTACATTATATGAAAATTAATCTACATACTATTTTAAATTGTGAAAATTATTTGCTACTTTTCCTTCTGAAGGTTTTACTACTAAAATTATAACAGATTCCCCCCAAAATTCCCCTTTTATGTACAGAACTTGCTGGAAAACAATGAACAGATATACTTTCTATTCCCAGAAAACACAGTCATTTTAAATCTTTGAAACAAAATTTGTGGCCTGTAAAAGCTCCAGTTTTATATCTGCTCTTCCCTATGTGACACCTGATGTGACTCATGGGAATGCACAAGCATGTATTTCCTATTTCTTTTCTTTTACAACATTACTTAACAGGTGAATTTTTCAAATGTTTTAGTCTGCATTTCTTACAGGTGAGCACAGATTATTAAAATCTGGACTACCCAGGGTTCCAAAGTGTTCAAGAAATGACTGCACATGGCACTTAGTGCTGTGGGGTAGTTGGCTAAGTCATGATGAGTCAAAGGCTGGACTTAATGACCTTGAAGGTATTTTCCAACCTAAATGATTCTGTGATTCTGTAGTACATCCAGCAGTTTATTGAACCTGAATAGATTTTCTGAGGTTCCAGAAAGAGATCTGTATCTTGTCAGAAACACGGAGCAAACCTCTTTTGAGGGAAATTAATGACTTTCAAGGGAAGCACACCTGGCATGAATAATATTTTTGTGCTATAAAACTAGTACAAGTTTTATGTAACAAGTTTCTATTATGGACAGATAAACTTTTGGGTTTCCAGCCCCTTCCTGAAGAATGGAAAAGGTCATTGAAATGCTTAGCAGTGTATGTACTACCTCCTCGTCAGATTTTGCCTGACTCAACCAAATTTCTTCCAAGTAATGCTCTAGTACATTTCAAGAATAGGCATGAGCCATGGACTCTTCTCACTAATCAAGGAAAATAAGACAAGTCCACCCTACTCTGTCTGTCTCAGGGAGAAGAAGAATTTAACTAGAAGCACATGAACAGTAATGAAGCACTTCTAGGGACAAAGCATGAGCAAAAACCCCACTCCCTACAGCCCTTATCTGCAAAGGAAGAATGGAAAAGATTTTACATATGTATAAGAGAACAGGTGTGGAAGACACCTGCCTGTGGGCAGAAAAACATCAGCTCCCAAAAGGATTATTAGACACAGTGTCCATTCAGGATTAACGGAACAGTGTGAAGGGCCTTTGGCTTATTCAGCTTTACTTCCTTCCAGGTTTTGAGATTGGTTCCACTATCAACTACGTTATTTGTTTTCTTCTTGAAAAGTCCCCATTACAGAGAGCAGTATAATTGAAAAACTGTGTATTACATTTTATGAGTGGCAAAAATTATTGGGAAAAAAGATCTGACCTGTAAACAGCAAGATCCAAGATGATCTGGTTGTTTTCTTCATCATCTTTCAGAGAGAAATGAAGCCTAAACACAATGACAAGAAACAGCTCCAGGATAAATACTGCTGGAGTGAATAAGCAAACATTACAGCATAGTTCAAATGTCAGCAATTTTAGATGAATACAAACACCATTTAGACAATATGTCATGTGATAATTTAGAAACAGTTGCCATTTGCTCCAGTACTGGCATTTCAGCCAAGGTCATTCTGATATTTATTTTCTGTTCTCCCTGCTCAAACCACAAGAAAGAGAAAAAAATCCCCTGCTGAAGGTCGGTTAAAATTAAGCTTATTTTGACAATGCAGAACGAGAGACATCTGCTGGTGAAACCTGTCTGCTCTATTACATCTTCACAGAAAAAAACAGTTCCAAAATGCATGAAAAACACAGATCTTTGTAATTCTAACCTTATTGTATGTTCAAAAGACATGCACTTTTTTCATAGTAATTAATTTGTCCCAAGTATAAAAATCTGTCTGTGTATTTCCAAGTAAAACATGATCTGCATAATATCCTTGATTCTATAAGCTTTATATTTGCTGAAAATGAGCCTGTAGATTGTATTAGCTGTATTTTTGTGATTTGTTGGCTGTGTTCTTAAAATTGGGAATGAATCTTATCAGTTATAAATTGATGCCATCTATTACTACAACTGTAAGGAGATCTAGTCTAGACTTACAAGTTCTGCTCATATGCTCAAACATTTCCCATGCATGAAAGCAGGGGGGGAAAAGAATGAAATTACCTACAAAAGAGAAGCTTTTGATAAATTAGTTATTAGTATTATATGAAGGGATTTTGCTTAATATAATTTATCTGGGCTATTTCAGTGACATTAAAATACTTAAAAAAAGATGGGTTCTGGTAATAGAAAGATGCTCGAATGTTAACAGATTAGAAGATAAATTTTTTCAGCAATAAAAATATTTCCCAGATATGCTTTTCACTCCTGGATCTCCTATATTCTGGGACAGTCAATTTGCAAGAAAGTTTACAGGTTGTAGTTTACGAGTACTTTTTTATTGGAAAAGTGCAAAGAATACAGAACAGTTTTATTTCCTGTCTTACTGCATCACTGATCTTGAGAATCCACTAAAACATGAAGGGTGAACAAGAGGACAGAATTATAAAATTTTCCAGGAGGAATCTTAATTAGAACTGAAGTACAGAAACAGTCTGTCCTCAGCAGCAAGCAGCCATTCCTCTTGCTAACTTTCCAAAAGAACATCAGAGGAGTTTGGACATTTTTATGGACATGAGACTTCCACGTTGAAGCAAAAACTTTGGAGAACACCATCTGCTTATTTGTATCTCTTTCTTTATGTCTCTCCAATACCCTGCCAGATTGCACTGAACAGCTGTGACATTCTTGTTGAAGTCATGACAAAAAATGCTCATTGGTCTGGCTTTACGTGGGCACATCCACAGACTAAATTCAGAAAACTCAGGTGACAAAAACAAGGATGCTACTAACAGTGAACTCTGTTTCTTCTAAAAAAGATAGCTAGAGATTTAGTCTAAATGTCCCTGCTTTTTAGAGGCACAAGCAACTTCTATTAACACAAGATTTAAATTATTTTAAGTTTGTCTTTTTGGATTAGAAAATGACACAATTATTTTTTTTAATCAACACATTTTTACTGGAAAAAGTACATCAATACAATGGAAAGTATCTCCTGGTACAGACAGACTAAACATGGCTCTACATGACACAACTCCTGCACTGCCTTTAATTCTCTCTGTTCTGCTGAAAAGTCTGCACTGCGTATAATTCCTTGAATTTGCAAGGATTTCTAGATTTCCAAGATTTAGAAAGCAGTCTTCATGCTAATGATAGGCATGTTCATAGATTTGGTTTTGCAGAAGTCAGTGGCCACTTTCTCATCCCACTCTGCTGCAGGAGACCCTATGGGAAGCTGTTTATAAGGAATAATATTTGCACTCAGTCCCCAGATTTCCCTTAGAAAATGAAGGTTTGGTTCAAGTAAAATCAATGGCTGATATCCCTGGAAACTCATTCCAAAACACCTGAAAATCCAAGTGCCTTTGTCAATGGTAAAACACAAGACACTCCTCCGTATCTCCATCCTCTGTTGCTGGAGACCTCACTCAGGGCCACAGGGCCCCTTGCCAGAAGCTGATTATCCTTACACCTGCCATCAGAGGACAGGATGATTCTGCCCAGAAATATTACAGGATGTATCTTTTCACATTTAAAGTGGCTTGCCATACACATTTATCTTCAACAGTTAAACTTTTTACACTATTAGCAAGATGCTCCAAGAAAGAGCCTTACTATAGAAGGGAAAAGACTAAAATATCTTATATATTTTACAGAAAAACAAGTTCTTCAATCTTTAAAGAGGAAGTTGTTAAATTAAACAATCCTCAACACTTAACGCAATGACAACTGATTCTTCTTCCAGCATCAGAATATAAATTTAGAATCCATTTTTCCCACAAGGAATATAATACTGCAACAAGAATTTCTCAGCCCTCTTATTTTTGGACTGTCACATATATTGAAATAGCTGCCCAAATCAACTACAGAGAGATTAGACTGCTTAACCTCTTAACCTTACATACTTAGGCACATTCACATTCAGAACTTTTCCTTCTGCAGTGACCAATGTCCAAGCAGTCTTCTCTCTCTTTTTTGATTCCCTTAAAAAAGCAGAAAGAAAAATTGTTTATGGTTGATCATTCAAAAGTTGCATTATTATGTAAAGTAGCAAAAATAAAGAGGATGTCTAAAGATGAGCAAATAATTTATAATGTCATGACTTACATGGACAGTGACTTCTTCTGCATGTCATCATGTCCATTATCCAACAGAAATATATCAAATAATCTGGTATACCACAAGAAAACCATGGATGGCTTAAATGTATGAAATGGGACATTTTTCTATTTCATTTTTCTAGATAGGAATGGTGAAACTCATCATGAGGTGTTGCCACTGATAACTGGTTTGATGTATGGGCAAGCATTTCTAAAGAGTTTTTATTCATGCTCACTTGATTACTCCTACTGAACAAATGCCTGGCCTGCCTTCAAACAGCATCTGTCTCTCAATCACTAATTTTGCTCTAGCTAAAGGAATTTTAATGGTCAAAAGATTAAAAGCAGCATTAAATAGGATACAGTAGGACCAAAGAGCAGACATATAGATTATTTGTTTATGCATATATTACATTTTTTGTTGTGTTCTTTGTTCAAAAAATGCAATACATATTCCAGATTTACTCATGATGTACTGATATATTACTTTAACATTTACTACCCATTTCCAGCTATGAGCAATTAAACTAAACTGACTTTCATTTAGTACAATAAACCAGCTATGATGAATGTATCTGCCCAAACAAAGTAGATCACAGTAAGATCATTAAGACTTGTAATACTGGTAATACTGGTGTTCATACATTAATACTTGTAATACTGGTAGTTTCCTGTATAAATGTTTAGATTATGAGCAAGGGAAGGAAGAGCAAAGAATCTTAGCAACATGAAAAAGAAAATTCTGATCACACCTAAGTAAAAATATGGAGTTTTCTTTAAAAATATAGCACTGTCACATTGCATTCATCCACTCTTCAGCTGGTCAATATAACGGGTATGACCACATTAGTCACAATATTAAAAGGGAAAACATTCCTCAAAAAAAAAATCAACAACAATACATTGCTTCTTTTCTGTTCCTGAACCTATTTCTTATGATAAGTTCAAGATTAAGAGCATGTTAAAGGTAAATCACTAATGATAGATATAAAATATTATAGATTTAGAACACCTTGGGGGAAAAAGCCAAAAAAAAATAGACTTGGTCTATAAATACAACAGATTTGAAGAAGAAATAAAAACACTTATATAAACCTACTGGAACAACTACATAAAACCAATTTCTGTTTAAGAAAGGCAACTATCCAAGTGTTAAACACTATTTATAACATAAATCAGCTTTTGTGTGGGATTTGTGGGCTGCCAGTCTCCACACCTGAATTCCTAGACTTGACACAAAAATGCAAAGTGAACGAACCACCACTCTGTTCAAAGGATGTTCTCAGAAACACCTCACAAATTAGAGCCTACCACCTCTTAGCTTTTAACAATCTGTTCCCAGATGAAATTGTCTATTCATGTGAACCATTTTACGGCGATGCTGTGAAACTTTCTCAACACCAAATCAAATTACCCATAAAACGATTTTTTAACTCTTTCAATGCCTTGGGAATTTAGAAAAATTCAGAAATTAATTATTCTATCTTTATTATAACACTGTTTGGACTGTCCTTGAATTTTTAGAGGGAAGCATTTGGAACGCATTTGCTTTTGACTAGAGCAAGGCATTTCCAAACACAGCAAAACTCAAACTGGTTAGAAACTGAGTTTCACAGAAGTTCTTCCAGGAAAGTGCTAGAACTTGAATTAATAACAGCAATTAGTTATGCACATTTCCAGATTTCCTGGAGAATTCCCTAGGACTGACTTTTTCAATACTTAGCCTTGACAAAAATTTTAAAAAGCAGGCCCTTAAAAATAATAGCTAAAAAAATCTCCAGCACAAAGTATGTTATATAAGTAGAAGAGAGAGAGGAAAAAAAAAGAAAAAGACACTGTAAACAACAAGACACTGTTTACAATGTCTGTGGAACTGATAAGCCAGAAGCAATAAAATACTGGGGGTTTTGCTAGTATCTGCATATATTTTGTATGTTCAGCAAAACAAATAACAAATTTACAAAGTTTTAAAGGCTTTTCAGGGACCAGACTTCTTCAGATTCACCATGCCAAATAGCATAGATAAAAGAATCTTATGACTTGTGACAAACATCTTTGATAAAGTATGAGAAAAAAAATGTCTCAGTTACATGGAAAAAGTGCCTGAAATGCCACTTGGGCAAAAAACTTGTAGCATGGCCTGCATTACATAATGCAATCTGCAGTATGGATAAATGTTTTTAGTAGAAAGTTGAATGTTGAACTACACAAAACAGTTAACTGACAGAAAAGTGGAGCTTCTAAACTCCATAAAAAGAAGTTGAAAAAAATATATTTAAAAACTCCAAGGAAAAATAAAATAAGGAGTACTAAAATGAAGTTTAGAAAATGAAAGAAAACAAAATCAACAATCTGAATATTTAGTTTAGACTGTATAAGCCTATTTTAACAATCAACAGGCATTTAAGTTGTCAGTTCTCCGTAATATTTAATGTCAGGCAATCATCTGCCTGCTTTCTGTACCTTTGAAAATTTCTCCTCCAATTCATCAAGATATTAAAACAAAGAAGTACCTTACATTGTCTTTAGCTCTCCGTTTTTCCTCCATGTATCTGTGAATTTCTAATCTAGATTCTGGAGTGTATGGTGTAGGCTCCTCCCAAAATTTTCTGTCTTCATCATCATCATCATTTTCAGCAGTTCTGCATCTTTCTTCTTTTCCATCTGCTTCTGCCCGATTGGGTTTTTCCCGTGGGGAGTCTGGGCTACACAAGATCACTGAAATATTACCCCAATGAAGTGAAGGAAAAGTAACTTGCTAATAAATTACTTCGATAATATTTTTTAACCCAATAATAACTGCACAATTCCTATCAAGATTGGTATCTTATATATTTGGAGAACATTCTCTGCTCCGCTTCTTTTGCCAATCAATAAAGCACTTTTTGACATAACGTTTTTTCATTTACTTTACTATGAAGTGATAGTATGGTAATACATAATCCCCTGAAAACCCTGAGAGATAGTTCAACAGATATAATTTCAGAAAATAATTTTCATATACCCTCACAACTTTCAGGTGAGAACAAAACTTCAGTCCATGTGTTGTTTAAGAATTCCCAACATTAGATTAGAAATTTATATGGTAGTAATGAGCATCTCCTCAAATGCAATCTTAACACCTGAATAACTTTTTTTCTCCCTAGCTGTAAGCTTCTATAAATCTCTATCAATAGAGAGAGACAACTAAATTTATGATACAGGTGTGATTATGAGGACAAGTTCTGCAGGCAGCTTCATGGAACAGTTTCTATGGGATTAAAAATAAAATAGGCAGCAAGTGCAATAGAGGATGACACCAGACAAAAATCCTGCTGCTGCCCAGGTAATGTCAGTGACATGAAGTGGCAGAAGTGGGAAAATCAACACCAAAGGCCTGCAATATTCCATTTCAGTCTTCAGATGCTGAAGATGATGCTAAGGCAAAAGCAATTATAGATGAACAGCTGCTTTCTCTGGAACCCCTGCTTTACCTTAAACAACAATTTCCAGCTGTTCTCCTGAAAGAAACTAATAATTACACAATTTCGACACCCAGACAACTTAGCTTGGAGTTTTGAGAGAAAAAATTCTATTGAACTGTGTCTGCAGGTCAATAATAAATTATGTTTGTAACTAATTATATTTTTCATTAGAGGTAACATGCATGAGGAGAAATAACTCTGCTTGAATCAACAATAATGATGAACAAAAATATTTAAGTGGAATTATATAAACTCTTTAATGGAAAAAGCCAAACTTGTGAATAAAGAAAGAATAATGTTTACTCACAAACTGTTGTTCACTGTTACCTGTCACATCCAAGCTTAGAGTCCATCTGTTTCTGTTTCTCATCCTTTTTTTCTTGCATCCTTCTTTGAGCCTCTTCCTTTTCTCTGGCCCTTTTGAGAAGGTAAGCTGCTTCCTGTTCTCTGATTTTCCACTGCACTTCTGGATAGTCTTGAAGAGCTTTAATCCTCTCTGAACGTTCTATTTCTTTACTATCCAAATACTTCCCAAAGGGGAAAAAGTCAATATAAATATGTGAGAAAGTATAAATATATTCAAATCAATAAATCTATTCAATTGTAGTTTTATTTGGATAATGAAGTTCTGTCTATAATTAGAAATGCATCTTTCACATATCAAAAGCACTATGTGATTATACTTTATTACAAAGAATTAACAATTACTTGCTATTCAGATCTGAAAATGGTTTTGTGTTTCTAAGATCTGCTTTTCGCATTTTCCAGAAATTTTAATTAGTCTTACTAGACTATACAGTAGAGACAGTCCCTTCAGCCATTTCTGGTCTTTGTCTGATTTTGATTCAACCCAAAATGATTTCTTTTGATGTCTAAGCTTATTGCCAACTGAGTAAGTTGAATCTACTCTTAGTAAGTTAAGCAGTGCCTGTGCTTCTCTGAGGAAAATTGTGAGAACATCTTTCAGGCCTGAGACTGCTTCATTGGCAGGAAATCATTACATCAGCTCAGTCACAGCACAAAACCACAATCTCAGAGTGTCTATTTCCAGCCAAGGCAATGTAATGCAATTTTACACCAACTTGTATTTTTTTCTGTCTCACACTGCAGGTTTAGTACATATTGCTGGAATGGTACCAACAACCCACTAACTCTCTGCAATCATGCTAATAATTTAAAAATACATTGTATATAACAACCATGAGGAAAAAACTGCCAGAACTGTAAAACACATTTATTTGAAAAAAAAAAAAAAAAACCTGAAAAACTTTTGTTTAAGAATCTCCAATAAAGATGACAGAAAAGTTAATGAATAATTGCAGTTCCATCAGAATGGAACCAATTATTATCATATTATTTATTGTAGTAATTTCTTCTTTGGAATAGAATTTAATTTCCTGTGAACATTAAGAAAAAGTCTATTAGTTTTCCAAGTACAGGGTTTTTTTGTTTAGGCTAAGTATGTTCAGTCAACAGTAGTACTCATGTTTTATTTGGATTTAAGTTTTAAAATCTTACTTTTAATTGCTGAAGAGTTGCCACTACAAATTGTCTATAACCTTCAAATTCAGTACATGGGTTACCCATTAGAAACAACTCCTTCAGATGAATATTGCATTTTAGGGATTCAATGCTGGAGAGTTCACCAATGAAATTTGCTGTCAGGTCAAGTTTCTTCAATTCTTCACAGCCTGTTTGAAAGAAGCCTTAATTCAATTTGTCCATAACATAACTGTACACGATATACATACACACACATGTACAGAACTGGATATAAAACTGTCTCCATTTGTGTTCTGTAAACTGATTTCATTCTATCAGAACTCATCTTTTCCAAGACTCTTTCTGAGTGAGAGTGACTCACAGCTAAAGTTTATGAGCTTACAATATTTACAGGAATAAAACAAACTCAATAAAATACAAAATACCATAACATTATTGGCTTTATCAGTATCAAAACTTTGTGGACATTCATGGATGAGCTATTAAATATTTAATTTTCAGATAAGCTGGATTTCCTTTTTAACAGTCTGATTGCCATGATACCCTTTCTCAGCTAAGTCTCAATCATATGGCTAAAATCCAATCCAATTGTTTAAAGACAGCAGAATCAATTATGAGTTTCAGTTCTGAGTATGGTTAATCTCTGGTAATATTATTCAAGTACAAAGATAAGACTTCCCAAAAACTCACTGCAAGTTATATTTTCCATTCTGTGGACTCAGCTGTCATTGTAAACACTTTATCATTGGTTAAATTGCAAAAACTGGTGAGAAAGTGTTTGTACTAAAACAATTCATTACAAACAGAAACTATAAATTCGATAACAAGATGCTCTGGAAAGTCTGATTTTTAAATTTATTAGCTTTTCCTGTTATCATAATGTGTCCATGAATCATAAACTTGACTCTAAGAGTAAAAACTTTAGCTGAGAGCAAGCTCTATTTTGATTCACATCACTGTAATCACGTTCCTTTCCTGGTCTATCTGCTAAGTTTTATGCACAGTTGGGCTGTAAGAGAGTAAACAACATAGAACAATTTATTAGGGGATTTAAAGAACCCAAATTTATGCAAGGGCCAATCCCAAAGGTTGTAACTCCTAAGTAAATGACAAATCACAGTAATAAATAATACAGCCTGATAGCTGAGCTTAAAATTTAGTGGCATGAAAATAAATGCAACTTTCTCAGCAAATTCCCAAATATGTACTACACTACCTACTTCGTCACTATTTTCAAATTTGTGTTTAGTCTATTTGCTTGTTTTCTTATTTAAGCCATCCCCTTGAATCAGCTTGCAGACTTAAAAACACAAAGTAAACCAACCAAGCACTCAACTAAACCAACAAAAGAAAAACAAAATGAAACCAAAACACACATACAAATAACCAACCAACCAATCAGTTTGTTTGTTTTGGTTTTTTTTAACTGTTCCTTTGTCAAGTTGGATATAAAGGTTCAGCAGCTGGCCTCATCCGAACTAAGAAACTGAAAACAATCAAGTCATAAATTATTCAAGTAATATGGAATGTGTTTATGGCTTGCTCCAAGTCTTAGATTTTAATCTTGGAAAGCACCATATTTTGCACATGAAATGTGCAAAAGTGACAGGATAAAGGATTAAACACACATAAAACAGACAGGATTTCAAGCAATGAAGAGAAAAAAAATCCTCTGAAAACCTCTTTTAAAAAACTCAGACCCTCAATGCAACCTGTGCTGAGCACAGAACCTTCTTGTGTGTGACATTTGATTCCTGAAGATGAAACATGACCCAGAGACATTTAGGAAAGTTCAAAGAGAAAAATTCAGCAGTAGGAAGTGCTTGCCACAAAGAAGAACCTACTGAAACCCTGCACCCAAGGATCATTTACACATCCACAAAATACCCCCACAGGTGGGCATCCTTAATGGCTTCCACCCTCTTTTACACCAAGTCACAATTTCAGTGTTCTAATATGAAAAGGCAAAATGGCTTTTTTCAAAATCTGACCTTCCAGATTTTCAATTCTTTCAATGTTGTTCAAAGCTACATTCAAATATTCCAGCTTCTTTAGTTTGCTCACATTTTCTGTAACAAAACATAGATGGATTACTTCAGTTTCCAGCATTGGAAAGTATGATGATTTCACCTGCTTACCTTAAAGCAACAATGAAGCAGAAAAACAGCAAAGGACAAATCAGAATATGTACCACATTACTGGACATTAATATTTTAATGTTAATAAAAAGACAAAACAAAAAAGTTTTCTGAAAACACAAAATAAAAAAGCAAAAAGAAACAAGGAAAGTTATAAACACATTTTAATCACAAATCCATAAAACACATATCTAATTCAAGAGGAATGGCTGAAAAAGCATAGTGAGACATTCCATCTTGGGAAATGTGAGATATCTACAAATTCAGTGACATGAATCCTACCACAGTTTACAAAGAACTTGAAGAGGTATTTTCTACAGAATTCACAAACAAACGATGACATCGATTTCTCAGCAAGAACTTGTGCAGCTTAGTTTGGATGTTTGTTTTTGCAATATTTCTGTAATGAAATGAACATTTCTGTATTTCTGTATGATGGGAGAGCTGTGTTGAAGGCAGTGGCACCACTCACACTCACAGGGGATGCCTGAGAAGCCCCTGCCTGCTCATGAGAGCTGCATCAAGGTTTGCTTTAAGAAGAGAAAAGACAAAGCCCAACAGAGCCAATATAAACCATTTCTCTGTGATATTCAGAAGAGTGCTTGGAACTGCTGTGTCCTTTGAAAGGAGTTGCTGGTATCCAGTGGGAAGAAAAACTTCTCAACTTCAATACTTTGCAACACAGCCCCTATTGACAATGTTTTTGGTCACCACTATAGTGTGGGGAGGGGTTGGTTCTGCTTGTTTTGGTTGTTTTTTGATTCGGGTTTTTTTTTTTTTTCATTTGTTATTAAAGTATTACCTCAGAAAGCTGTCATGTTATACAAGAATATATGAATCAGCAAGTTGCATACTCTTTAAACTCCTACAGTTAGATAATGGTAACATAAAAACTGCTAGTCTCAAAAATGAAACTGCTGAAAAAATTTTGGGTTCAAAAAGCAACAGTCTGAATGTGGTATCCTGTGCTAACCTGAAGGAGGCCTGAGTGTTGACAGAAAAACCACAAGATGAAATCTTGTGCCTTATTAAGAACTCAGTAACAGAGAGAAAACCAACTTATTTTAGTCCTTCTTTAGATGGGGCAAAGAAGCACAAAGCAGTTTAAAAAACTGGTTTTCTCTGGGAAAAGATTCCTCCACTTTAGAAAATTCTAAATCTCTCACTTTAGAGATAGAGTTTCCTGATGAGTCCCTTGAGAAAACTTAAAGGATTTGCCTACAATTTCTGAGCACAGAACTTCCTCCTAAAACCTTAGGATTTTTGTTTTCCTCTTGAGGAACTTCTAAGAGATATTCTAACATAATTTCTGACCACTTCCAACCTGTCATTGTTCATCTAGACAATATGTGTAGAATCTAAGCTTTTCCAGCCCAAGGCTTGATGTCACATCTTCCAATATGGAAAAAAACCAAGGTATGAAATTATATCTTGTTCTGTGGTGCAGAAAGACCATTAAGGCTTTGTTGCAGAAAGTTTGGTTCAAGCACACAAGAAAGTATTTTATCTGAATAAAAATTATTTCAATGTTAACAAAAAATATGATTTGCATGAAAATGAAATTTTGAAAAGAGCCTGAAAGAGCTAAGCCTATGGTATCAGAGCCCATGGTATATGGTAAACTCTTTGACTCTGCTCTAACAAGATGGGATATTTAAACTATAGCCTGATATTTGAAATTTAAATCCATGAAAGGTGTTTCACACTCATATTCTAGTGACTTGTATCTCAGCAGCATATTTTGAATTTTAAACTTCCCTTGAAAATTTCTAAACTTCTTAGAAATTTAATAAAGAAACGAGGAAATGAACTCTTGTTAGGAGCACATTCCCTTAAGAATAACAGAATAACTTTTTTTTTTCTGATTTCAAAATTATACATGTGAATACATTTTAAAAGAATCATACTGACAACAGACTTACCAATTTTTGGAATTAGGTTATTCTGAAGATAGAGAATTTTTAAATCTCGACACCATTTGTCAAGATGCTCTAGCTTTTCTATTTCCTGCTGATGTAAAGAGATTTCTTCCAGTGAAAAAATTTCACAGTTATTATGCTCTGCACGTCTTCTAACGAGATCTTCAGTGACTGAAAGAAACATTGGATGTCATATTTCCCTTTAATCATTTTCTGCCATCTGACTTATGAGCAAATTATAAAATCATTAAAATATTTTGTTCCACCATACCAAATAGCCCAGTAGGAATGACATCAAAAATAAAATCTGGCAGAAATGATATCAAGATATCAAGTACTAGATAGCTTTGACCCACTCTGCCCCAGTAAACATCTTTTGTGAAACACAATCACGTCACCTGGAACATTTGGAAAGATCCATTTGAAAACTGCTGAGTCTTCCATAAGAATGTGATACAACCCTTGCAGAAATTAACCCAGCAGCCACTATTTTCAGCATAGCTTGGGTTGCAGATTGATTCATGTAGACAAGCAGTGGAGTGTTTTATGCTGTTTTATTTCCAGATGCCAGATGTTCACATCCCAGACAGCAGCAGGGGGTGGGGGGGAAGCAAACCACAGTGTGTCATCACATTCTTCCAGCAGCACAGGGTGCACAGAAATAAGCAGGATAAATGCTGAAAGTGGGCAGATATTTTTTATTCCATAGCTAACTCATGCTTATGAATGTTTATGTTAGAATGAAATGTATACCTGGTATTTCTTAGGCACTACCAGCTCAGCAGAGCCAGCAGAGGAGTTTCAGTGGCTGAAAAGCACCAGAGCCCTGGGTTCAGTTATCATGTTGTAATATTTAATGCCAGGCAGTCTCTCAAACAGTGAAAAGGCTCTGTATCATGAAGGTAAAGAAATCCTACAAGAACCAGTGCTCACTCCTGAGCTAGATAACAGAACTTTGTTTCCAGCACCAAAAAGTGCCAGCATTTTCCTCTCCTTGACAAGCACTGGGCCATAGTGAAGTACTGAGGAAAACCATAAGGTTTTATCAAGTTAGCACAGGTATTTTCATGATTTTTAATACTGAAAAAAAAAGACAAAAAAGCTTTACAAAAAGGATATGAAGAACAGCAAGTAAAAAGAAAAAATATATAAAGAGCTGTGAAAACAAACTTCCTACCATGCATTAATTAAAAGTAGTCTTTACTTTGTCTCAGGGAGGTTTTGTGAAATCATCCGGCTTTATTAGAGGTCCTGGAATGGCTGCACACATTCCCATGGACCAGCAAACTGTGTACCAGTACAGCCCAGACTCTCATGTGTCTGTACAGCTCCTCTATCTGCAGAATTCAGGAAAGGGTGAAACTGGTTGTATTTATATTATATTAGTTATAAATGTCCAGGCTTAAATCTCCCTTCTGCTCAAAAGAGTTTCACCTGACAGAATAAATTTACAGAATTAAATGTGAGATACAGATATTGGTTGAAGGGGGAACCTATCTGCACATAAATCATTTTGGGAAAGGTGTCTTTGTCTCTTCTAACCACGTTGGGCAGGTTTATTGCATCTGAACAATCATCTTCCCTTCCACTTGAACTTGATTAAAGTAACAGAGAAAAGAGAAAAAAAAAGTCAATAATCATGACTAAATACTTCAGTCTTCACAGTAAATATGAAAAAACACTGACATTTCTATTAAGCTACTTGGCAAATCTGCTGGAAATTGAAAGAAAAAAAAAGTCTGCTTACTACTGTGTTTGGCTGCAGATTTTTCAGTGGCACTATTACCAGGTCATTTTGAGCAGGACAACAATACTCCCCAGTCTGCATACATACACACTGGTGGTGTGAAAAATGCATATTTTATGATTGGCTTTTCACAAATATTAAAATGAATTTTATATGTGTTATGTTAGAAAGTAATCCTGTATTAATTTTCTTAAGTAGCGTGTTAAATATAGGTTTAGGTTATAACATAATGTTAAAATAGAAACTATGTATGTAAGATACTTTTTCTAAAGAGAAAACTCGCACTGAGATAGCAGCCACAGGAGGACACCTTAATCTTTAAGAGAAAAAGAATTTATTGCCCCATTATCAGAAGAAACTAACTTCTTCCTGCCTTGCTCAGCCCTGGAGACGCCGTCAGGATTCAGAGGAAGAAGGTGTCACTGACCAGACAGAATCCTGTGTTTGAATGGAATTTATGCACCATGCATGAGGTGTATGAATATGCAACAGACTATTGCTTTTAAGGGTTAATCCTCCGTTAATGTGTGTCCTTTTTCGGGCTTATTTTGCCCAGAAAATGCATCTGTAACTCTTTGTCTCTATTGTATCATAATGTCCTAATCCAAACTGTCCAAATTATTATTACTCTAATTATATTACTAATTTTATAACCATTTTATTACTATTAAACTTAAAAATTTTAAAAACAAGTGATTGGCATTTTTCACAGGTGGCAATATTATGCTCCATACCCTTTATAGAAAAAAAAGTCATACAAACTATTCCTGAAAGCTTAATTACAGCCCAATTTCCATTTGCTGATGAAAATTGAAATTATTTTTGCAGCAATTCTGCAAAAATGTCCACTTTCATTACCAGATGAGTTGCAAAGCAGAGACAGTCTTTCACAAGAGAAACTAGAGTGAAGATTTAGAAACCTAATTTGACATCTTGTTGTAGGGAACTGCCTGAATATTTGACATTTTGTGTAAGATCTAGCTCTCTGAAAAGGAATGAGGGAAACAAGCTTGCAAGAGAAAACAAATATTACATAAAATTTTAAATAACAACATCTCCAGGACATTGACAAACACACTGAACTCAGTAAGACGTTCATTAACCAGATTTTTTGGTGGTGTGTGCAGTAATAGGAGACTGGAGCAGTGACCTGAGAGATCACAGCTACTCCCAGGTTGGCATCTGGGATGGCATCAATCAATTGGAGAGAACAGATCTTGAAGTTCTGATGCCTGGGCTTCCAAAAATGACATGTTTTACTCAAGAAAAGAAGCAGAAATGAAGGGAAACAGTAAAAAAATTGAAAGAATAAGCAGATGGACAGCTGCAGGTGTAGCAGGAGATGGTGGGGGAAGCTGCATTTCAGAAAAGTGAAGTATGCCACCATTACTTTTGGATTCAAATTCATGCTGTGCTGTTCAGGAGATAAAGTCATTCTCCTTCAAGCAGTGCCTGCTCCAAGAGGGCATCTGCCAGCTTCCTGCAGGGAGAAGGAGCTCCTGTCCAAAGCACTGTGTCAGCCCAGCATGGGACTGGCAGTCCAGCGATAATATACCATCAAAACAGATTACAAGAAAAATCACAGAGGAAGGGAACTCCTTTTTCATGAGTAAAAGGTGTGAGCACTCAGTCTTTTGGGCCATATTGCTGTACCTGTAAAAGATGATCAATTCATAAGTAACAGAATAGGGTGTTTTACCTCATTTGGGGTTTTTACATATTTTTACATATCCCCTTGCAGAGGCTGCCCCACCAAGGAGGGGTCCCCAGTAGGGCCACCCCAGTCCCCACTGCTGGCCCTCTCTCAGGGCTGCTTTGGGATGCAAGGAACCCCTGTGCTTCTCATGCTGAGATAAAATGGCAGCTATTGCCAGGGAGGAGGAAAATCTGACAATTATCCAAGGAGGGCAGGGAGCTGCCAGGGGACTGTGGGGAAGGGAGGCAACTGTGGTGAGAGGGAACCAGAGAAATGTTTAGTTTGGGAAACACCTTTAAGATCATCTAGTACAACCCAGCACTGCCAAATCCACCACGAAGCCATGTCCCTAAATGTCACATCTACATGAGTTTTAAATAACTCCAGGCGTATTGACTCCACCAGCTCCCCGCTCAGCCTCTTCCAGTGCTTGAAAACCCCTTCCATGAACAATTTTTTCCAAACATCTAAGCTAGACCTCCTCTGGCACAGCTTGAGGCCACCTCTTGCCCTGGCACACGGGAGAAGAAGGCGGCAGCCCCCTGGCCACAGCCTCCCTTCAGGGAGTTGTAGGGAGCCATGAGGTCTCCCCTGAGCCCCCAGGCTGAGCACCCCCATCTCCCTCAGCCGCTCCTCATCAGACTTGTGCTCCAGCCCCTTCCCAGCTTTGTCGCCCTTCTCCGGACACGAAAGAGGCGCGCAGGGCGCGGGGCCCGTCCTGGGGAGGAGGGCAGGGCCCGGGGAGGGGAGGGAAGCGGCGCTCTCCGACACTCACTGCGCACCATGGCCGCCCTCAGGCACCGCCGCCATTCCCGGCCGCGCCTCAGCGCTGCCACAGCAACGGCCCCGGGCGGCGGCGCTGAGGCGGATCCCGGCCCTGCCCTCCCTCGGCAGGCCGAGATCAGGGAGTTCTTTTCCTCGGGCATAAATCTCGCGTCTCGTCCTTTGCATGACACTTCTGTCCTCCTCCTGCGTATCCGTCAGCTAGTTTGCCTCGCACATTTTGGGCTGAAAGCTTGTTTTCCGTTGTTTGTGAAAGCAGCCTGTTCCAGTGATTCACGGTCCTGTACAATTTTAGCATCGTAGAACAGTTTAGGTTGGAAAACACCTGTAAGATCACCAAGTCCACCCTTTAATCTGACACTGCCAAGTCACTGTGAAAAACGCCAAACACTTGTTTTTTTAAAATTTTAAAAGTTTAATAGTAATAAAATGGTTATAAAAATAGTAATACAATTAGAGTAAAAATAATTTGAATTAGGACAATATGAGACAATAGAACCAAAGAGTTACGGATGTCCGAGTACCTTTTTCGAGGCAGCACAAGCCTGAAAAAGGACCGCCTTTAACATAGGATTAACCCTTAAAAATAATACCTTGTTGCATATTCATACACTTCATCCATGATGCATAAATTCTATTCAAATCCAGGATTCTGTCTGGTCATCGTCAACTTCTTCCTCTTAATCCTACCAGCGCCTTCGAGGCGGGAAGAAGTTCATTTCTTCTGATAAGAGGACAATAAATTATTTTTTTCTGAAAGATTTAGGTGTCCTGTGGCTGCCATTTCGCTGCAAGTCCTTTCTTTTAAAAAAGTATCCTACAAAGCATAGTTTCCATTTTAACATTTTTTATAACTTAAAACTATATTTAACACATTACTTAAGAGAATTGATACAGCATTACTTTCTAACACAACACATATAATATTAATTTTAATATTTGTGA